ACCGATGAAAATGGACAGCAGCCGTTCGACCGAGCTGCAATCCAACAAGCGTGCAGTGCGTCAAGCAACATCATGTCACCGAGCCTCATCATCGGAGACATGCTGCTCACTCCCAGATCTTATTAATCTGCAAAGAAGATGAAAGGCAACTAACAGATACCAAGCTGGACAAGCACCGTAACACCAAGCCACCAAGGCAGGCGCAAGTGGGGCATTGGCTGACTAGGCACTCAAAACTGTCTAGCACCGATGAAATGGACAGCAGCCGTTCGACCGAGCTGCAATCCAACAAGCGTGCAGTGCGGCACCCAGCTCACTCCCAGATCGAATCTGCAAAGAAGATGAAAGACTACCAACAGATGCCAAGCTGGACAAGCACCGTAACACCAAGCCACCAAGGCAGGCGCAGGCAGGACATCGGCTGACTAGGCACTCCAAACTGTCTAGCACCGATGAAATTGAAATCGACCCGGCTGCAATCCAACAAGCGTGCAGCGCAGCAACCGACAACATTTCACCCAGCCAAACCATCGTTACATCATTACATAAAACTCATACAACCATAGATACGCTGCTCACTCCTAAATCGAATCTGTAGTGAAGATCAAGACGAAGCTGGACAAGCACCGTAACACCAAGCCACCAAGGCAGGCGCAAGCGGGGCATTGGCTGACTAGGCACTCAAAACTGTCTAGCACCGATGAAATGGACAGCAGCCGTTCGACCGAGCTGCAATCCAACAAGCGTACAGTGCGGCAACCAACATCATTTCACCCAGCCGACCCACCATCTCATGCACGCTGCTCTGCGGCTCACTCCCGGTCAAGACTAACAGATGCCAAGCTGGATCAGCACCGTAGCACGGATAAGGGCCGTAACACCTAGCAACCGAACTAGGCACTCCAACCTTTTAAGCATGAAATCTGAAGACATTGGGGCGGTTGTGGCTGGAGTGAGTCGCAACAGCCTGCACTCTTTCGGCTCTCAGCCCGTGAATCTTGGAAAGACTGAGCTCCCAGCTATGCCCCAAAACGCCAAAGTTCCTGAGCCGATTGCGCAAGGGTCTTGCAGCAGGATGCCTGATCATGTTTGGTTTGTCCACCACGATACACCTCCTCCACCGATCCATTCAAACAAGATTTCGTTCGCGTGGTGGAACTTCCCCATCGAAAGGCACGATGCAAGACACCGACACCTCAAAAGTTGACCAGTAAGTTGATGGGCCCAGTCCATGAGAACTGGCACGAGCTGGACTCACCTTAAAGACCCCTCCAAGACCCTCCCAACACCTTGAGCTTGCCGGGGGCCCGGGCGGAAGGATGTCCAGGTGCCGTTAGAGGCGAGCAAGGCCCGAAGCCGCAGCTGGCGCGGCTTTCAGCGAGGCTTCTTCGAGTTCTGCGGCTTCGACTTCTTTGGGGCTCGCTTTGGGGCACTAGGAGAGGATCTGGGAAATCTTGGAAAAAGCCTTTGGTCGCTGCAGCACGAACCCACACGCAACGCTCGGGCGCACCGGAAGAGAGCAGCACAGGCAAGGCCCACCTGTGGGGGACTGTCAGGGGTTCAAGTACAAAGGCTTCGAGCAAGCATAACAGCCAGCGATGCCAGAACGGATCTGACAGACAGAACGGCGGCGTACAAAAAAATCAAGCTCCGGTGTTTCTGAACATGCACGCGCAGCAGACATCTGAGTCCCCCACTGCCAGTCTCGACATGTACGGACTCAGCACACCAGGAGCACTGCGAAATGTGAACAAGCCAGTTTCACCCAAACTCAGATCATGAAGTCCTTCGTGTGGGCACAGATGACACAGAGTTTCACACTTGCAAACCCATGCGGCAGGACTGCATCCCTCTGCTGAGACTGCGACAGATACGTCGGCCGGCACCACAGCAGCCATGCAATTTGCATGTGCCAGTGCCGAGCAACAGTAAATCTCCTTGTCCCTTCCTTGCCAGTGCTAGGTCTGCTAGGTCTGCTGCGCGCTCTCGGTTGCTTGGGGCTTGAGGTGCTCAGTGGTCTGGGGTTGCTTGAGTCTGTGCTTGGGTATAGCCCTGCCCTCGGCCAGATATCCAAACAAAGAAGCATGCATCATGTCTTCTAACTTCAGCCAGAAAGACAACAAGTCCGGGAGCTTCGTCGCAGCAAACAGCGGGACGCAGAGCAGAGCTGAGACATTGAATGACTGCCGGCAGGCTGTGCCTCTGCCACCACTTTGTTACGAGCTTCCAGGATATCCTCCGAAGGCTCGAGATCGGCGCACATCAGTGGGCTTGACATTCCCTTCATATCCCGGAACTTTGTACCCTGAGCCTGGCGTGGGGGTGGAGCCCGGCCGCCTGAACTGAAAGTCACGAGCTTCAGATCCCCAGAAGGCACGACTGGTCAGGAGGACAATGACAAGGAGAACTTGGGTAGGTAGGCATCTCCTTTTTAGCACGTTTCCGGCATGTGCATCCCGCTGCAAAATGCTGCACCTACAAGAACTTGGAACGCTCGTCTGATTGTAGACCCGCCACATGCTGGACGACTCGGATGAGATCAAGCCAAAACTCGAACAAACAGCAGTAATTTGCTTCCACACTTGTGCCGGGCCCCCGACCCCAGCTACCCGCAAGATTGGGAGCTTTCTTCTGTAACCACTCGTCCAAGGTCGGCCTCACCCAACGCTGTTGCCACTGTAGGTTGGTGTTCTTGACAGCAGGCTTTCGTCCAAGACGGTTGGTTCACGTTGCAAGCTGGCAGCGCAGCAGGCAGCTCGCCCTCAACCCAAATGTCTTTTCATCATGATTTTCAATGTGCAGCAATGTGCAACGATGTGCATGAACATGCACCGAGGGCGCCCAGGATCCTAAGCCGCTTTGCCGACTTAGAAAAATGCCCCAGGGGGGGCATGGCCATGGCCTCACCGCCTCGCCCCAAATCGCTCGGCCGGGCCGCTGGTCTGCGAGCCAAGCACCCATTTCCCGTGCATGGCGTTTGCGCGTACTTCGAAGTATGAAGGCGCATCCTGCTCGTCAGCCAACCCCTCTGAAAGGAAGGGACCAGATGGAGCAGAGAAGGTGGAGTCAGCACAAAACACGAAACACGAGTCAATTCTGTGTGGTCCGTACAACAGCTAAGAAACCAGCATGCGACCTTCTGGAACGATGTCATTCCTGAGCTGTCACTTGGGCACACGAAGAGTAAGCTGCAAATCTAGCTGTGGCATTTAATGGACTGCGCAACACTACTCAGTGCTGAAACACATCCAGGCGGCGTAGGGTTGGCAATATAGTAGAGGAGCCAACCTTGAAAGCAGGTGCCTTTGCCTGAAGTCTTGCACAGGAACTCCGGCAGCAACACAAAGGCCCAGACATAGAAAGAAAAGTGCCACCCAGGGCAGCAGCTGGGAGATCCACGCCTGTCTGTGCAGAGCTCCACGACAGCCTAGCCTACCCAGATGGCGAGCACTCACAATCCCAAAGCACGTCTGCATAGGCTCTGCCGGGAGGTGATGACTAATCTGAACCACACCGAGCTGTGATTGTGACCCGATGGCCTTTTCTGCGGGTTCCGGAGACTTCGCCTTGCAGTGCCTTTGGACTTGAACTCTGAGCTCGACACCAGGTCCGCATCCCATGACGACGCCGAGAGCTGCCACATGGGTTCACACCAGACTATCGATCTTTATTGTGTGCCACATCTAGGGTTTCGGTACATATCTGAACTTATTTGAGAGTTTTTTGGTTGCCATTGATTTGTACTTCAGCATCTCACAACACCGTAACTGAACTTAGCAAGCATTGCGTTGCGTTGTCGCTCAACATCACGACACTGAGCAGGCACACCACTCTGCTAGCTCTGGTAAGCACACTATGTGCTGTGATTTTCTGTTCGGTATCTCAACCAGCAGTGCACCGCTAATCCTTCCTTGTATGCACCTTCGCAGCTGGATAAAATCTGACTGCACGCCTAGTTACGGAGCAATTTTTGGACGTGTGACACAGGATGGTAGATGATGGCTGCCTTGCTAAACCATGCTGAACATTGCCCGCGGCCTTTGCGCGCTGCGCTGCGCGAAGGGCCCTCAGTTTGGACACCTCCTCACGGTAAACGAAGTCCTCGGATCTTCTGCAGTCTCCAAGGTGTGAGCTTTTCGGATGCCGCACGCATGCGAGCTATGGCGTTGAAACAAGGGATACCACCTGGAGGAAGGAACATGCAAAAACAACGACCGGGACGGACCCACACAGGCCTTCGCGCATACAGACGTGCAATTCAAGGATATACTGACAGGCCAGCAGGCAGGCAGACTCGGTGTGGGTGCGTGGGCCCTTGTGTGCACATGTTTACCTAATCGATTTGTACCTATCTATCTTTCCATCTATCTCTGCATCTGTCTGTATGTCTATGAACTCATCTACAAACCCATACGTACATATCTGCACACATGCACACATGCGTACACGCATACACATACATGCATATGTACACATCCTCTCTGGGTAGCCGGCATCTGCGAAGTCGTCCATCGCTCGTCGTTGAACAGTGGACGACCTCGTCTGAGCTATGCAATGCCTTCAAACCCTCCTTCACCTCCTGCTGCGATTCAAAGTCTCAACCTACGAAGCAACGCATGTGGTAGTCCGGTAGTCCGACTGGGCAGACTAATGAACGATCGAGGCAACATCAGTGCTCACTGGAATGCCTGAAGAAGGCACAGTGGGAAGGCTACACGTAATATGCTTGGGCCAAAGCAGCACCTGCGATCTCCCGAAGCTCCCGAAGCCCACAAGGAAGGACAGGCTTCGACCTCCAGCAGTACACTGCGACCAGAAACGAAAGCATCAAGGTTTCGAGTCCGCAGACACTCACACAACCTCGCCTTTCTTGGCAGCGGCGAGTAACGCCAGAAATGCCAACTGGCACTGGCACGGCTTCGAAAGTGACTGGTTCTCCAATGCACGCCGCCCATGCAGGCCTGCCGCCATACCGCCCGGTGCACACGCCGCATGGTGGGCAAATCCCTAATCTGGCTTAGTCATAGTCTATATACATACATGTGTTAGCAAAACATTATGATAAAACTGTCTTCCGCGTTCTCCAAGTGACAGTTCAAAGCAATGGGATTTGTGTGATGCAGCATGCGGCGTGTTCTTTACAACCGCAGTTTTGATTCGACGCTGCGGCGCGCAGATTCTTTGAGGCCGGATGTGTACTGCTAGCAGATCAGCGGGTCCGCCGTCATCACAGCCTTGCATGGCATCTCTTACAGAGCGAAGGAAAGCGTGGACCGAGCAACTCAAGCAACCCTTCAAGTGTGGACGTCGCAGGATCAAACACACATGCGAAACTGGCACAGACAGGTTCCGATCTGGCTTAATGTAGGCGCCCGAAGACTTAGTACCCGATGTAGATGTAGTCCTCAGTCCTCAATATGATTGTGGTCTGATGCGCCTCTATGCCAGCAAAAATGGGCTCGAAATTAACTTCAGGAGTGAATGAGTTGGCACGGACTGGCTCGAGCAATTGCCATCTCAATGCCCGATCGCCTCTACTCGCTACCGAGTTTGCCACAACACACAGCGGTACGCACCACCAACGTGTTTTCGTGCCCCCGAAAAACACCCGGAAACCGAAAACACTGATCCCACATCCTAAAACTGTCAGCACCAAACCCTGTTCAGCCAAACAACAGACTCCTGTATACTCTGTGCAGTTGAGTTGGTGTTCCTACAGGAAACTGACCCTGTCTTCTAAATCTCAGAAAATGAAAATCTCTCGACAGATGTGAGGTGGAACTACCTTTTCAACACCCGGGCTCCGTGAACATTCCCTCCTGTGGAGCCTCCTCCGACAGAAATCTCCGCAGTCTCGCAGGAGTGCTCAAAGGCCAACGAAGATGAAGACTGTGCTGCGACTACACCCTCCCGCACACCTTTTGCAAGAGCTCTGCTGAGTCTTTTTCTCCGACACGCAAATGGCTTCTCGCTCGTGTTCAGAAGCTGGGACATGCTCCTCCAGAGCGAATACTGTTGAGATGGCCGGGGGCGTCATGCAGCAAAACATGCGTGTACCACATCCACTGCCGCCCTGGAGCTGCTGCTGGCATCCCAACACATATCTTGCTGGACCTCGTCGCTGCCGATGTCCAGGAAGGACTTTATCTGCAAGCACCTGGATCAGACCGGCCGTGGGCAGCAGTGCTTGCAACAGGCCTCCTGGCAATTGATTTTCCTTTTCCTATTCCGTTCCCGTTCTCTTCAATGCTGGGCAAGACTGTCACACCCGTGGTTGCAATTCATGAGATTTACATACCCGTGAGCAAAATCTCAACGATGCAAGTTCTGTCATTCGGTCGTCTGACGCTGGGATTTGCGGGTTTTCGGCACAGCGCTTTGGAACTACTACCACATCCACACACACACACACACACGCGGACGGACCTACGTGCGACGCAGTGGAACCCCTCAAACCAGAGCGCAAGCGCACGGGACGAAACGTGTCTGAGGTTGCAGCAAGTTTGGAAACTGGGTGCTGTCGACAGCAAGAAGCTCCTGGTTTCGTCTTCAAGCCGCGGAATGATTGAGGCGACATCAGTGCACTCGCACGCACTCGCAGACTTTTGAGGATCCTTTGCAAGCTCGCTGTTTCCTCGCACAGCCGCTGCCTGCGTTCAAAATCGCAGGGCCCTACCTTCTGCGATGCACACCGAGTCCCTGGGTTTCGCCCCCACGGCCAGCCTCCGGCACATCGAGCAGCCGGGAAAGGGTCTCATCCGAGAGTGGCAGTTCAGGGTCCTATTTCAAGCCAACTGCCAGAGTTCCGGCAAGCACGTCTTGGGCTGTTTTTTACCGTATGCTTCCCGGCCTCCAGCTTCAGAAACTCGCTTTTCACCTCCGGAGGCAGCAGCCGCTGAAGTTCACAGAAACGAAGTGATCGTCCGTCTGCGATGTGGGCATCGCACCACGATGAAAGTGTCATCGTCCTCCTGATCAGAACCTGCGATGAAACTTACCGGAGTGAGGAGAGCAAACGAGTTGTTGAAGCTCCGACAGCTCAAGGGTGTCCCAGCTGCACCTGCAGGCTCCGGTGCAGGCAGCGAAGGCTGTGTCGGCTGCTCTGCGATCTCCTGCAGTCAGAAGGCCCGCGAGTCCGCGTAAGTCGAAGCCTGCTCGGCATTTCGACGTGGAGCCTCCTGCAGGCCAAACCTCGTCAGCAGACCTGCTTTGTGCAAGATCTCCTTTCACAAACTCTGGCGCGAGAATTGACGACACTGCAAGCACATGCAAGGTCCGCTCTGCTCCTCTCGCAATACGGCAGACTCTTCTTCCTCGGACTGCTGATGCCACCCGGAACGAGAAAAGAGCCCCGAAGCTCAAGCCTTCTGCAGTCTGAGAGTCGGAGTTACCCTCCACCAGGATCCCGGGGCCCAAAGTTGCCATTCTGTGCTCCACTGGGCTACATGCTACACGGACGGTCAGACACTCGCAACTGAACATTAACTCGTGTCCGGTTACTGCTGTTGTGTGTCAGCGAGACGCACACACACAAGCACAGCTGTATTCCAACATGTAGACATGCATGCATGCACCACCTCCTCCTATCTGGGTCGAAAAAGTGCTAAGTGGCCTGCACAGATTCTCCAATTGGCAAACCCTCGTGTGCACATGGAACTGCTCGAAATGTGAGGCTGGAATGAAACGATGACTTTTCCACGAATAACTGCTGAGCCTGCTTTAAGGGTCATGCGCTTTGCCGCTTCACGTCCTTTGCTATGTACATTGCAACACAAGCTGTCGCCAGAAATCGGGATTGTCAGCATCAGCGCACGTTCTGCAAACAGGTATCTTGGTTGCATCCTCAAGTTACTGCATGCCAAAACCACCATTCCGTGGCGGCTACCGTCATGGCTGTGGCCACAGTTTGCAAGTTTTCAAGAGCCACCTCTCAAGGTGTGCAGAAGTCCTCCTTGGGACCAGATAGATGGGGCTACGACACCGGGATCTGCCAAGATATTGGGATGTACCTGCCAGCATACTTTGGCCATTCAGCACAAAAAACAGCCATATGCAGTCGTAAATCCAGCAAGAAGAATAATCATGCTCGCTCGGTGTCAAGACGCTAATCGTGGTTACGAGCATAAGTATGATTTCTACTGTGATTATGGAGCAGCAGCAGTAGCAGCAGCAGTTGCAGTAGCCGCAGCATCTGACCTAGCACTACCACTAGCATAACCTCAAGCACTAGCACTAGCACTAGCACCAGCAGTAGCAGTACAAATAGTAGTAGTAGTCGTCGTCGTCGTCATAGTAATAATAATCGTCGTCGTCGTCGTCGTAGTAGTAGTAGTAGGAGTCGTAGTCGTAGTCGTAGTCGTAGTCGTAGTCGTAGTAGTAGCAGTAGCAGTAGCAGTAGCAGTAGCAGTAGCAGTAGCAGTAGGTTGCTCTTGCCCTTTGTTGTGGTTGTGGCTGTGGCTGCGGTTGTGGTTGTCGTTGTTGGTGTCGCTGTTGCCGTTGTCGTTGTCGTTGTGGTTCCTGCTGCTGTCGATGTTGTTGTTGTTGTTGTTGTTGCTGCTGCTGCTGCTGCTGCTGCTGCTCCTGCTGCTGCTGCTGCTGCTGCTGCTGGTGCTGCTGCTGCTGCTGCTGGTGGTGGTGTTGGTGCTTTTTTTGTTTTTTGATTGCGTTGTTTTGTTTTGTTGTTGTTGTTGCTGCTGCTTCTGTTGTTGTTGTCGTTGTTGCGGTCGTTGTTGTTTGCTGTATGTGTATATTCAAACAAACAAACAAACAAACAAACAAACAAACAAACATACATACATACATACATACATACAAATGCATATACATATGTATGTGCTTTCTGAGGTCTGGGCGCAAAGCATGGGGTTAGAGGCAACTGGGGGGTTCAGGGTTTTGGCCCAAAGCCGAAACCCTAAACCCAAGAGCCTTCACGTTACTAGTAAGAATCGGGTTTGTTGTGTATGATGCTGTAACGAGAACAAGAAACCCCAGGGAATAAGATTGACGTCCAGGCTATAGACTTCGGGCTGACGGTGCCGGCTGTGCATTCAGATGATTCGCTGCCTGGGGTCTCGCAGGTTTAGACTAAGTTAAGGATTAGAGTTCAAGGTTTTTCGGTTAAGGAGTACAAGGTCTTCGGTGCTGCGGATCAAGGGATTCAGGTCCTTCCGCTTGCTGAGGATCAGCGGGACCATATCGGCTTTGAACCATGCCTGGACTTTCTTGAACACATTGGTCTGCACGTCGTGTGTGCCATGCCCCGTCGCATTCTTCACCGCATCCTCACGCCACTGGGGTAGAAGGTTCATCACATCTTGCACCTTCCCTGCCAAGTCGCGGAAGCCTTGTCGCTCCGCGAGATGACGCCAGGGCTCAAGAGCGGAGAAGGACTTCGCTGACCGACGTTGCGCGGTACAGCGTACGAAGAGGGCAATGGCCGTGAACTTCAAAAACTCTTCGAAGCCTTCAACCGATTTGTAGTACCATGCGACCTTGTTGATGAGAACGGGCCTGTCTGCCTCCCGGAAGCACTGGCAAGAAGCGAGCTTGAAGTTGCCAATCGCCTCGATGAACAGCGGAAGTGTGCTCTCCCGCACGAAGGGGTCTGCGCAAATCTCAATGTCCACGGGGTCGTGCACGAGCAGGAAGCAAACCCATTCATAGACACACCAAAGCCTAGTAAAGTATGTCCATGGGACCAACACAACAAGCCCGTCGCAGAAGATGATGTACTCCTCTAGGAGGTTGACACACCACCCAGTCAGCTCCTGATCACCCTGTGGAATGCAACACTTATCCACCCAGAAGTACACCTCCTTCCACCGCTTCGAGTCTCCCAGCTCTAACGAGGCATAATCCTTGGCTATGCAGCAGATTTCCGCTGCCTTGGCCTCCGCGTAGCTTCCCGCCCCCATCAGCTCGTCCCACTCCTTCGGAATTCCCCAGGACTGGGACAGGAAGCGAATCTTCCCGCGCTTCACGAACTTCTTCTCCCCAGCCCTCACCGTCTCCACCAGCCAGTCATGGGAGATGGCATAGAAATTGTCCAGCTTGGTGTAAGCACCCCAAAACTCCTCTGTCTTGGTCAGCTCTTTCAAATCCTCGGCTGCTCTGTCTAACTTGGTAAATTAGGTACAGCCTCTTCATTGCCCAACTCATATAGACCACCTCAAAGCTTTCCGTGTTCAAAGAGTTTAGATATTCCCAGGAAGTTCGGCCCCCTCCTAAGAACCTAGATGGTACACAGACATGAAACCCTAATCCTAAACCCTAAACTCTACCCTAAACCCTAAACACTAACCCTAAAGCCTAAACCCTACCCTACTTCCAGAAAGGCCTAGACTCGGTCCAAGGTGAAGAGACGAGATCAGCCGAGCAAGCCCGGAAGAGGTAACACGCGATGCGGATGCCTAAGTGCCCCTTCCCGAAGCAGCGAGTAGAACTATGCTCTTGGTTAAAGGAAATTACAGGTGGGGAGTTTAGGGTATATAGGGCCTCCATAAGGCTTCTATAAGGCATATAGACCTTCTATAAGGCTCCTATAACAGTAACTGCCCACCTGAAAATGTCCTAGACTTGGCTGGTTCTTATGGGGCTTCAGCCCCGTTTTGGAGCAGGGACTGCAATGCGCGAAGCCCTGAATCCCTCAACCCTAAGACCTAAGTCCTAAACCCATCGGGCCCATTTGCCCTGAACCCTTAATCTCAAAACCCTTATGGGACCTACCACAAAGGAGCAGCTAAGGCGGATGCGGTCCTCTGCGTTGAGTGAGAAGTAAAGGTGCCGTCCATCCGAAGGTGGTCGGAGGTCCTATCACAATATATATATATATATCTTGTTTAGGATTTAAGTTTAGGGTACCTTATAGGGTTTAGGGCTGGAGTTTTGGGACTATTCCCGTGTACGATTACAGTTCGGGTTTGTTCCGACTGGCTGACGCGCTTGTTCCATCTGGTCGCGCACAAAAATTCTAGAACCTGCCCATAGGCTCCAAAGTAGTTCCTTTCTCGGGCTACCTTATAGGATCCTGAATATGAACCCCAACAGGAAGTACTTTGGAGCCTATGGGTGAATACAAGTCCGGGATAATGAATGAATAGAATTCAGTCTCTTGCTCCGGCCAGTGGTGTGCCGACATGTGCCGACAGTCTTGTCTTCCGAGCGGAACTGGGGCCGAGTTTGGATGCAATCATCCGCGCAAAGAAACATGCCCTTCCCAAATGCACAACATATCCCCTGTTGGGCCGCACTTTCCAGCCCCTGCATAAAAAAATCGCATCGAGTCGACATGAAGGTCCAAATCAAGAGCTCTGCCGCCCAGCAATTCTGTCCCCGTCCCCAACCCCAAGCACAAATCCGCAGTGAAATTCGGAACAGACTGTCTTGGAATCGTATCGAGTAGTCGTATTGGTTACCCTATCAAAACTAAGAAAATGCCGGACGTACAAGTGGGTCCTGACGAAGTTGATAAGATTCGAAAAGTATGTCATACTCACACCCTAAACCCTAAACTCTAAACCCTAAAACCTTGTTTAAGCGTTTTGGCATGAGCAGAGCCATGCGAAACACAAGTCCCTGTCGGAGGGCCGGTTCACGGATTTAGGGGTGACCCTTGAGTCGGATTAGGGTATATCAAACACAGCTTATGTTCAGGGTTTAGGGTTTAGGGTTCAGGGTTGGGGGATTAAGGTTCAGGTTCAGTCCTTGGTGATCGAATCTATCTGCCTGTGCTTTTCCGCCAAGACCGCGCGCACATTGCTCACCCAGTCATCCTCCGCCAGAACCGGCGAGGCTGTAAGCGTGATCATTTCCTCGTCCTGGTCTGCGCTGCAACACCAAAACGAGGCTAAAGCGGCGCGAAAGTCAAAGAAGCTGTAGGTGGAGCCCTTCGTCGTGGCTGATGTCGGTGCCTCAGCCTGCTTCTCACTGTCTTCCTTTTTCTCCACTCCCGGGCTCACAGTCAAGGTCCAATGAATCTCGTTAGCTGCCTCCGCCATGGAGATTCGGAAGCTCTGGTTCCCCATCGAAATTTCTTCGATCTCTAGGGTGGAGTTGAAGAGCTTCTTCGTGGCTTGCTGGAGAGCACCTTTCAAGAGAGGGCCAAGACCTCCTCTGCTGCTTGCATAGTGCATCTTGAAGGTGTACTTCCTGAGTTCTTGTTCGAGCAGATGCACTTCTTAAGGCCGTAAAGCACTTTCGTTCTGTTTTGAGTTTAAGGACTATACACCTACCGCACCAGAATCATCTGCTAAACAACTGCCTAGCTTCTGGTCATTTATCCATTCCAAGCTGCCGACCTCGAAGATAGGGAAAATTGCCGCTGGCAGATCCCTCTCAACGTTGTGGTGCAGGATGTTCCTTATAAGCCCCAATCAAACGACCTCTTGATGGGATTGCATACCGAAATGATAAGAATGAACCTCCAACAGATAGCTTTTTATAGAGTTAAGGTTCAGGTTGCCAAGCGTTTCGTGCAAGTTGGAGCCAAGCGAGCGAAGTAGCCGAATGAAGCCAGCACCAGCTGCAAAGTCGACGAAGTACGCGCCGAACAGCTCGAGTGCCGCCTCCAACGGGGCACCTGCCACTTCTGCCCCGATCTTGACAGCCGCCATGGTGAGAGCATCATCGTAGTGCTTCATCTCCAGAAGCGTCGCCTCATCTTCCACGCCGGCTCGCTTCAAGATCTCCTTCCATGCCACTTCGCCGAATGTGTCCACAACGAATCCACGGAAAACAACATGAATGAGCCCATGCATGTCGACGTTGTCGATGCGCACGCTGCCATAAAAAAAGAAGCTTCGCTACGAGAGTCTGAAGCCACTTCGAGCATGAATCCAAGGTCAACGCACAATTATATGACATGCTGGCCAGACTTAATTGGGGGTCGACGGCCTAACCACTATATGACTTGAACTGCATAGGGCCAGTACAGGGTTGAGACTTGTTCCTCAAACAACAAAGTGGTAAGACTGTGGAGTTCTTGCGTGAAGCGTTAAAAAAAAACAACAATCGATTGAACCCCCCTCGCGGCGTGCGCTCGACAATCCTTGGATTCCTTGTGATCTCTTGGTGGTCTCCTGTGGTGGCCTCCTGGCCGCTGTCGTCGTGGTCGTCCGGCGTGGGTGGTCTTGTGATGATCTTCGGGTGTCCCCTGCATGGTGTCCTGGTGGTCTCCTGATCGTCCTTTAGTGTTCTCCTGGTCTTGGTGGTCTCCTGGTGGTCTCCTTGTGTCGTGGCGGTCTCCCTGGGGTCTCTTGTTCGCTTGGTAGCCTCCTGGCTGGTTGTGTACAAATGGAGTACCTGGAATGGTTTGGTGGTGGGAACCACCGGCACGGTCCTCCTGCACCTTGAGTCTCGTGTCGTCGAGGGCTCATGGAGCTCTGGGGCCCCCAAACTCGTTCGAATACAACCGGAGGGAGTTGAACTGCAGTGCGCGCAATGCTTCCGAAGGCTGCATAAGTGCTGGGAAAACACGGCAACTATTTGCACCCTGCATTTTCCCATAGGGAACCACCGGCCGGCCGTGACTGCATGGTCATAATGCCATGCTTCACGTAATTACTGTCAACGAAGTCTCAAATTTGTTGGACCGAGGAGTTGTGGAGTGGTGAAGCAGCAGATGCTTCCGATGAATGCTGCGTGCTCAAGAAATGGAGATCAGAGTCGTTGAAAAAATGGACACGCTACGCTCCAACTCTACCGCGATTGCATCTAAATCCGAGCCCCAAATCCTTCGTCTTTGCTGGAAAAAGTTCAACCTTCTGTTCTTCAGGACTCAAGGGATTTTGGGCCCTTGTCAGTCACATCTCGGCCATGCCAGGCGAATGCTTAGCACACACGTCACTTTATCTCGACTCCACGAATGGAAGCTGGTCGTTGCAACGGCTTCGCCGGCATGCACAAACTAAAGGCACGTTTAAATCCATATCCAGCTGAGACTACCACATGGCGTTTCGGCGGAATCTCGCACACTAACTTAAGACTTGAGTATTCAAAAATTCCTCAGGTTAGCACCCATACAGCCTTTCACGCTGCTGGATTTCCACCTGAAAATTCAATGTCTACACACTAGAGCGTCGTTCAACGACTGACTCTCCCCGCCAGGTTCATAGGTAATATTTCAACATAAATAGACTTGGGCTTTGAAGTTTGGGAAGTCTTTGTAATAAACGTGTACAGGGGAAGCTCAAGGAATCAAGCGGCTGATCAGTCAGGACGTTGTGGTTTGGATCAAAGAAGTAGAGGGGCCAAGGGGGCCACATTGCAGACGAACCTCAGCTCAGGTGCGAAAGCACCCAAGCATAAACTTGTGCTGCTATGTTGCCGTCAAACTCGTATCTCTTCTATCGCAGCTTCTGGTTGATCTTCTGCCTGGTCCACAACAACGGCTTTGGCCGCACGGCGCAGCTCCTCGATGAAATGCAGACCACTCTCCGTCGCCACCTCCTTCCGGCTTAGTCCATATGGAGGTCTAAACATTTAGAAGTAAGATCCCCTTATACTGTCCCTTTTTTTTGTGCTGTAGCATACCCACAAACCCTATTCTGCGTATTGAGGCCCCTGTGTTCGGGTGCGGCTTAGGCTTAGGATGCGGGGCTTGGGCCGGGTTCGAAATTAACCGTTACACCCGAACCAAAAACATTGAACACAATCATAGATTGGCCTTAACGAAGTCAGGGTTGAGGGCATGCAGTAAATTTAATCTTATCGATTTGTTCTGAGGGGGTCGGTTGTCAGGAATGTTGAACACGGAAGAAGGCAGTACGGGCTGGGCAGGATTTCGGGTCTTTGCTCAGAGGGTACTCCGACGACCCGAAGAGGGTTTGATTTAGGGTTTAGGGGGTCCTTCCGGTTGTTGAGGATCAATGGCACCATCTCGGCCTTAAACCAAGCCTCGACATGCTTGAAGACATCCGTCTGCACGTCGCGGGTGCCACCGCCCTTCACGTTTTTCAGCGCATCCTCACGCCACCGGGGTAGAAGGTTCATCACGTCTTCCACCTTCAAAGCCAAGTCGCGGAAGCCTTGTTTCTCCGCGAGATGACGCCAGGGCTCAAGAGCGGAGAAGCATTTCGCTGACCGACGTTGGGCGGTACACCGCACAAAAAGAGCAATGGCCGTGAACTTCAAAAACTGCTCGAAGCCTTCAACCGATTTGTAGTACTGTGAGACCTTGTTGATCAGAACAGGCCTGTCCTCCTCGCGGAAGCACTGGCAAGAAGCGAGCTTGAAGTTGCCAATCGCCTCGATGAAGAGCGGAAGCGTGCTCTCCCGCACGAAGGGGTCTGCGCAAATCTCAATGTCCACGGGGTCGTGCACGAGCAGGAAGCAAACTCATTCATAGACACACCAAAGCCTAGTAAAGTATGTCCATGGGACCAACACAACAAGCCCGTCGCAGAAGATGATGTACTCCTCTAGGAGGTTGACACACCACCCAGTCAGCTCCTTGTCACCCTGTGGAATGCAACACTTATCCAGCCAGAAGAACACCTCTCGCCACCTGGCAGTGTCTCCCAACTCTAAGGCGGCAATGTCCTTTGCCATGCAGCAGATTTCCGCTGCCTTGGCCTCCGCGTAGCTTCCCGCCCCCACCAGCTCGTCCCACTCCTTCGGAATTCCCCAGGACTGGGACAGGAAGCGAATCTTCCCGCGCTTCACGAACTTCTTCTCCCCAGCCCTCACCGTCTCCACCAGCCAGTCATGGGAGATGGCATAGAAATTGTCCAGCTTGGTGTAGGAGCCCCAGAACTTTTCTGTTTTGGTCAGCTCCTGCAAATCCTGGTCTTGCGGGCACTGTTTAGAGTGACAAGTTAGGAGCTCTTCCGTTTATAAGACATATAATTATATAATGACAGTGCTGATGCTGACACTAAACCCTAAGCCCGAAAATGTGTTCAACGGCTGCTCAGAAGCGGTCCAGGGTGAGGAAACGAGCTCGGCGGAGCAAGCCCTGAAAAGGTGGGCAGCGATGCGGACACGGTCCACCGCGCTGAGTGAGAAAGAAAGGTGCCGTCCAGCCGAAGGTGTCGGGCGGTCCTGTTTAGAGTTTATGCAGTTTAGGCGCATTTTTTTCTTTTGGAAACCCCTCCCCCCCCCACACCCAGGTTCAGGACCCCATTCTGTCCCCAGTCCTCCGTGATCCTGTCAACCTTGCTGCGCTTCTCAGCCAAGACTCTACGCGCTGTGCTTACCTGGGTAGTTTCTCTCAGGCCGCCCGAAGTATTTATGAATAGGTACCATGTATAGGAGCTAAGAGGGAAATCAACAGCTTCCTAAAACGCCAGCTCCTTACCCAAGCTTCCTCCAAAGCAGGTGCAGCTCCGAGGGATGACATCCCTTGGTCCCGGTCCAACTCGGCGGTGCAGCACCAGAAAGAGGCTAAGGCGGCATGGAAATCGAAGAAACCGTATGCGGAGCCTTTGGGGTCGCCTGATGCACCCGGGTCTCTCTGCACCTCACGGTCTTCCTTCTCCTGTCCCAGGCTGACAGTCAACGTCCAATTCACCTCGTTTGATGCCTCGGCCAGTGGAGTTAATTTGAAGCTATGCCTCTCCGTTGCCAAGGCTTGGACCTCTAAGGTGGAATTGAAGAGCTTCCTCGTGGCTTGCTCCAGGGCACCTTTCAAGAGTGGCTTGAGGCCCGCCCTGCTACTTGCATAGTGCATCCTGAAGGTGTACATCGTGTCACTTATCCATTCCAGTCGGCCGACCTCGAAGATAGGGAAAACAGCCGCCGGCAGATCCCTTTCGACGTTGTGGTGCAAGATGTTCAGGTTGCTGAGCATCTCATGCAAGTTGGAGCCAAGCGAGCGAAGTAGCCGAATGAAGCCAGCACCAGCTGCAAAGTCGACGAAGTACGCGCCGAACAGCTCGAGTGCCGCTTCCAACGGGGCGCCTGCAACTTCTGCACCGATCTTTACAGCCGCCATGGTGAGAACATCATCGTAAGGCTTCATCTCCAGAATCGTCGCCTCATCTTCCACGCCGGCTCGCTTCAAGATCTCCTTCCATGCCACTTCGCCGAATGTGTCCACAACGAATGCCCGGAAAACAACATGAATGAGCCCATGCATGTCGACGTTCGTCGACACACGGGAAAGGAACCCTGGCTTCGAGCATCGCAGGAGTTTTTGTTTCAGAAGCCTGTCCAGATTGAATCAAGGGGCCCTGTGGCAAACCTCCAGACTCTGCACTGTCTTGAGAAGTCAGATCTATGATTACTCGCTTCCAGCAGTTGTCGTGCCAAGGGGCGGCTGCATCATCCGCGGAATAAGAGGCACAGACTAACCTCAACAGGATGCAAGCTTAGGGCAATAAGAGTGTCCTAGTGCTGCTGGGTGGTTTCCCCGCCCAAGATGTAGATAAGGTGTTTACCGCACTAAGGAGTTCGGCATGCAAAAGCTGCCGAGATCGTTTCTGCAGCTTGGCGTTCTTGGTTCTACAACCCTATAACCCTAAACCCTATAAACCCTATTACCCTTTGACCCTAGTCTCAGGTGTTTGGGCCACTGGCTGAGGCAACTTGTTTCAACCGAATTCAGTCCAAGGTTGCTGTAAGGGTGCAAATCACAGGTCGTCATACTCGTAGCGTCTTGAGCAGGGAGAGCTGTGGAGTGGTAGTGTGCGCTTAAGCCCTACTCACCACGCCCTAAAGTTGCCCTAAAACCCCTATCCAATCCCTAAACCCCTACACCCTAAACCACTAAACCCCTGAACCCTAAACCCCTAAACCCTGAACCCTAAACCCTGCCATAACAAGCCGAAGCAGCTGCAGTGTTGGAATGCCAAAAAGAGAGCCCGAAAGGGAAACACTGGATAACTCCAAAACCGCACTAAACGTCAGCTGAGCCCTTCACATAGATGTTTCGACTCTCACACTCGCACCAGGCAGGCAAGGCTCTACACACATAGATGTTTAGGGTTTAGGGCTTGGGTTTGGGGTTTTGGCTTTAGGTTGAAGGTTGTGAGATTCGGGTTAAGTATACGGCCTTGGTATGAACTTTCCACGCAATGACAGCCCGGTGGTTTGAAGCCTCTCTGCTCGTGAAGCGCTTGTGTCTAGCTTAAGAGGCCGAAGCACATAGCCAAAGTTTGGGGGTGTTGGGTCAACTGTTTTCGTGCATAATCCAACCAAAGCACTTACTGCGACCTTCGTGATTTGTGTCGCCCATCATCTGAAACCTGAATCAGAAATGTGCAGCTCAGCAGCTGTGGGCCCACCGCAGAGCGAATTGAATTCAAAGCCTTGTGCAAAATTTCGGCTAGCCTCGGTAGGGGCTTTGTGAATCCTAGGCCAAAAGGGGCACAAAAAAGGACTCGCAGACAATAGGAGGGTGTAAAGGCTAAGCTTGCGCTAAGGAAATATAAGCATTTGTCATTTCTCAGCTCCGCGTATAAGACCCGCTAGTACAGTCTAATGATCGTTGGAACTCCTGGGCAGCGCGCAACCGTCAAGTCCTTCGGCTTCGGCCCTTGCAATATATCACCCCAACCGTGTATCCGAATGCCGCCGTCCAAGGACGAAGCCCCAAACCTACAACCAGAACCCGGGGTATAAGGGTGTTGATGCTACTTTCGGGCTTGAGGCATATGGTCAAGGGTTTACAGCCTCAAATTCAAAGAAAGAGCCTCACTCCTCACACACCGAAATCTCCAGAGCCATGAATTGGCTGAAATCCGGTACAGCGCAACATAAATCGCGACGACTTTGCACTCTGAAGTTTGAGGCCTAAATCCTAAACCCCAAGAGGTTGAGTGAGTTGAATGTAAGTGGATTTAGGGTTTAAGAAGGCCGAGGTACACGGAAAACGCTCGCCACAACCACTTTGGACTTTGTAGCGTCGTCAGGGGTTTAGGGTTGAGGGTCTAGGAGGATGCAGGATGTTCTGGGGAGGTTGAGAAACCACAGGATCCGAACATATGTCACCCCCTCCGCTTCAAAAAAGCACACACCCGCACACCAATATTGAGAAATCTGTCTCCTTCCTCACACCCGTCGCTCATCGGAAACTCCCTAACGAATAAAAGCCCTAGCCCTATCGTAACGTAACTTCTTGAAGCGGGCAGCCGGGGAAGATCTTCGAAACCTCAGCAAGGCAGGCTCGACCCCAGGTACCCTAATGCAAAGGCCCTATCAGTTCAAGCAGGGGTGAAACTATTTGATGTTATTTCTATCGCTTACTTCATGTAAGGGGGACAAACGGGGATACTTTTGCGAGTCATTCCGACATCTATCTACCCTCAGACGAAGCCTCAAAGGACCAACGGCAGACCATGGAAGCGCGGAAAAAAGCCAGGTTTTACTGAACACCCGGAGCCAAAACCATCGAACCATCGAAGCCCCTAAAGGCCCTAAAGCCTAGACTCTAAGCCCTCAGCAAACCCCTTCCGCACCGTAAACCCTAAACCGCCTAAACGCCCATGCAACCCTCAGCCCCTCTTAAGGCAAGAGCGCACAGGAAAAAACAAACCCTCAACCCAAGGCGCCTTGAATGCTTCGCACATGCAGCCCAGCGGCGCTTCCGAAGCCGATCGTCGGAAAAATGTCTTTCAAGAGCTGAGAAGGCATCGTTGATGCCTTGCAGTGCCCAGATCCTCAGAGGTTCAGTGTTTCGGAACCAAGATGGGTTTAGGATAGAGTTCTGCGTTTCGGGTGGTGCGACGTAAAGGGTGAATATCAGCATTACCAGCCATATCCTCCCCAACTGCGTGCTGCGACTTCAACTACCGGTCAACAGGCACGGAGAACGGGCCAGCGGTATGGCAGACTACAGTCTCGGATTACGAAGGTTAGGTCCTCATTCCTCAGGCCCGGCCCAGGGACCATGTCTGCAGAGAAATCCTGGCGAGTCCTTCTCAAGCATCCTAGCGTTAACATGCTCAGCGAGGGGGACAGTAGAGGTTTCCCAAGTATAGAGGCGGGTATTCAACAAATCAGGACACCCTCATTTCGACCCCAAACAATAAGAGACTTAAGCCCTAAACCCTAAACCCCTACACCCTCGACCGTAGGAGCCCGAAGTAAGCAGGGCACTCCCCCAACTGTAAGAACTCCGGGTTCTGAGAGACTTCAGCCTGACCAGGCACCACAAACTCAAACACAAGACGTTTCACCCCTGAAGCTCTTCCTAAAAAGCCAGTAGTCTGTATTTAGGGGCTACTTTGAGCCAACTATGGGCTACTTTAGGGTATGGTAGTCTGGTATTTTGGGCTACTTGGCTTTTCAGGTTACCGATCCCTTATGCCTTGTACACCCCCACATGCCACAGAAGCCTAAACCTTTATAAACCCCGCATGCCGCTGAAGCCTTTACACCTGGGCATGTGCCAGGAAGCCTTAAGATTCTACCTATATAAACCCTATAAACGCTAAATGCACCAAACCCCACACCCTACATAATCACCCAAACTCTCACCCCTATCAACCCCAAAAGCACCCTTTTCAAAGAGCATCCAAGGGTCATCACAGCGCTCCAAACCTCCGTTTCAAACGGTGGAAAGTGCGACTGCTTCCGGGACCTGGACAGCCCAATGCACAAGTTTGGGTTCAGGGTTTCGGGCTTCTGGGTTTTTTGGGGGTTCGTTGGGTGGAGTTGCTGTTGAGTTGAGTCCCCTGAAGCCAGCAAAGTTCATAATCAAGGGACGGGTCTGCAAGATATGTTTTTGGATGGGCCAGTATTTGTTGGGTGGTGGTTCTCAGTATTGTATCTTAAACTTCTGGGACGGGAAAGTGGCATGAAGGCACCGTGTGGTTCATCAACACTGTCCCCCGAAGCCTGCACCCGGAACCACTTGCAGGTCGTTGCATGAAACTCATCCGTGGCAGGCCAAACGACCTCTGTACAAAACGAACCCCACGTCGTAGTTTGGGCAGGCGCGGGCACCAGCTAGACATCGGCAGCTGACCACAAGAAGAATCGGAAAAAAGGGACCGCTGAGAAGTTCAGATGCAGGTGCTTTATGACCTGAAAGATGCGGACACCCTAATTCGCGTAAAACCTTTCAGCTTGGGAAGCCTGTAGCCAAGATCTTAAACCTCATTGCGTGGGCCTCTTCACGTGGCTCTCTGCTGCAGCTTGGGCAAGGACGCAGCCATGCTGCATGTGCGCAGGGTCCTGCTGCAATGATTGTTCTGCCTCTGTAGTCCCCACAGACACAATACCCTCAGTGCGACGAGCACCGAACCGAAACCCTAAACCCACACATGGTCCCTTTCGATCGTTGGAAGTTTCGGTGTCGGTTATTATCGTGATCATCATGCATGTTCCTGAGTTCTGACTGCAAACCCAAACCATGTCGTGAATGGAAACTCTACTCGAGCTTTCGAAGCACCCTGCACCAAGGCGAACACATTAACATTGTACGAATAATTGAAGCACGTGCATGTTGGGCTGCTTGGCATAGATTCTGCAAGCGGTTGCACTTCCCCTTGTACAGTGCTCACAACGCTTGGATGAACATGACCACATCCTCAAAATCATGGGGAGCTGGAAATTCGGGCTTCGCAGTTCACTGTTTGGGTTTGAGAAAGCATAGGCAGTCAGGGACTTTGGTAACCGCAACCTATACTACACTATCCGTATCCGAAAATGCAAAGTGCGGAACCTAAACATGAATTTTAACCACAGACTCCAAAATGTGCGTGCAAGACCCATCTTCCAGTCAACCCTATCGTTTCCTGAGAATTTTTTCGCCAACATACTGGTGCTAAGCTCTGTCAAACTACCGTGACAGAGCCCCTTGGCTCCATAAGATCATGGGTGACAATTCCAACAAATCCAAGCTGTCAGTGCTTGTTTGCTGAGCTTCATGTTCACCAACAATTGACCTTTATGGTTTTGTCTGTTGATGAGAGGGTCATATACGGGCCTTGGAACGACACCCCGAAACCCCTACATGCATACATACATACATAAACACATAAATTAACTACATCACACTACATTCCATTCATCCGTACACATACGCATACACACACACGTATACGCATACGCATATTAATATGCATACCCGGGCACATACACACATACATACATACATACATACATACATACATACATACATGTACATACATG